TGCATCCCGAGTTTGAGTCCCGGCTAGTGGACCCTTCCCGATCCCGATCCCACCCCCCCTCTCTCTCTCACTTCGATTCCTGTCATTATTCAACTGTCCTATCAAAATAAAAAGCTAAAATGCCTTAAAAAATGAAGTATTTTTTGTCAGTGAGGTCTAAAACAACATCCCCATTGGACCCCATTGACTTCCATTGTACACTCTTAAAAATAAAGGTTCCAAAAGGGGGTTTTCACAGTGATGCAATGGAAGAACCATTCAGTAAACAGTTCTTAAAAGAACCTTATTGTGTAGAACATTTTAATAATCTAAACAACCTTTTTTCCACAATAAAGAATGTTTTGTGGAATAGAAAGGTTCTGTGGATGTTAAAGTTGCTTCATCGAGCCATAAATGCTAAAAAGGATATTTAAGGCCTTGATTTTTAAGGCCAAAAAAAAGCTAAATATTTTAAAAATATCTTCTGTCCCTTTAAGGCTCCAGAATTTCATTCTACTCTGAAATGTTTCTTTAACTCATTATTTCAATCCCTAAAGCTGACATACATACATACAAGTCAATCTGTCGCTTGGGAGTTGTCACCTGCAAACGTGAGCAATAGCTCCTTCAGCCCCGAGCCACTTCTCCCCACACTATTATTCTCCTCCAGGTTTAAGTGATCTTTGTCAGCTTCTCGTCATTGGTTTTTATTTGTGTGGGAGCTTGTAGCCCCGTCAGAAAAATGTGAAAATGGAGAAACAACTCGGATGAGTCAGATCTCGCGCTTTCTGTCTGCCTTTCACACTCTCATACGCCTTCTCTCACTTGAGTCTGGTGTACAAACCTACTGTGAAGTTTCTGAACAGCAGGGTAGCGGTCTGGTTATCTAAACAAAGACACACAGCCTTGAGCCCAGTGCCGTACTAAAAAGTGGGTGGGAAAAGACTGCTGGATAACATTGGTGGTTCCGTTTGGATTTCAGAGCGATAAACCGAGCAGTAACCACCTCAAACATCGCCGCTGAAAACAGATGGTTTTTGATACCATGCATCCACTACTATCCCAGCATGAGCCGCGGACTCCAGCATCGGAATCTGCTTTGCAGTCACAACTAATTACTCGCTTTAATCTGGGCTGAGTGGAGACTCTATGTGTTTTAACCCTCTGGGGTCCGAGGGTGTTTTGGGGCCTGGAAAAGTTTTGACATGCCCTGACATTTGTGCTTTTTTCAGTTGCTTACAAACATTTGAGAAAACAACGTTTATGCGTGCTTAGTGAAAAACTACAAATTTAAAGTCACTGAAATAAGGCCATAAAACACATATAGAACATTTGATCACACGACTTTTGAGAACTGATCTTGAAGTCTAGAGTTTTTGCTTCAAAATTGTGAGAAAATCATCTTACGGTCTTACATTCACAGAAAACAATATATTGATTTAAATTTTCTAAGACACTTTTTGTGTAGAAAAGGTATATGCGAGTAGGCATGAATGATCATGAATAATGCTGTGATTCACACCTGAGAAGACAAAGGCCTGCATAATGAGCTGACACAAACTACATTATTACCATTATTGTGATGTTCACTGATACTAGTACTAATTTATCGAAACAAAGAACACAATTACCACATAGCAAACATAGTTTACCATACAGCAAATAAATTAAATGAAAGTAACATCTGTAAAATAGTGAATGCACACTTAATCTAAGATTCTGAATGGAGTTGAAAACTGAAGGAGCGTCCCCTTACTGTGAGAGATGCAGGTGAAGGCAAGAGTGGTGTATTCGGTCCTAAAATAAATTGAATAAACAATTGTAAGCATTTTTTCCCACAGTACCTTAGTATAGTATGCATACTTCGTGAGAAAACAGAATGCCAATAACAAAGAAACTACATTTTAACACTATCAACCACAAATAATATTACCATATAGTCTATGCATAATAAAAGTACAATTACTATATTGTGCACTTACTCAGTATGATTTTTCAGCCAACTCAAAACTGAACGACACGTGTGTGCAATTATGCGAGTGATGCAGCCACAGTCCTAAACGAAAATGTAAATAGTTGTTAGCAATTACCAGAAGGTGCATAGCTGATAAATAAATTGCATCACTGATAAGAAAGGACGCGCGTATATGTCTGTCGATGCATCACTTATTTACAGCTTACTTGATACGTTTACACATCAGACGATCGCGAACGCCAATGACCGAGTATAAAACATTCAACATATTAACATTATAACTCGCATTACTTTTATATTGTTGCTGTCTATTTTATAGAACATATACGTTGAGAACCTGGCATTGTGAGACATATATGCAGTGAATGAATCTTCATAATGTTCCACTTGATTGTACATTTAGTTAGGAATCATGGTTTGGAAAAAGTAACTAGTAAAATATGTACAAGTTATGTCACAGTAACACAATAGCAACGGATGCAAGTAGGCAAATAAAAAAAGACTATATCCTCCACTGAATATCACGCCGGCGCGTTCTTCTGAGGAAAATCCAAAGCTTATTCCTCTCAGCGCGTCTTCTTCCAGAAGCGAAGTAGCAGAGATGAACTTTAGGAAACGTCTCGCTGCTTTGTTTGCTGTGATGTGGGCATTTACATGCTGGCGTCTCACGTGAACTATTGTAATAACAAAAGCGCGATTGGCGCGTCGGGTGGTCACAATAGCGATAATGAAGGCGATGGCCAAGACTTGACATCGCGTTGGTTTCATACTGATTACTTTGTCACATAATATTTGTTTGTTTCAAACAGATATGCGTGGAGAATGAGACGGCTAAAATACACACCCTGTATGTTTTCTTTATTTTGCAAAAGCACACCGTTTTGTTGATATTGTGAGTGTACACAAATACAAAAAAGTAGACCCTTTACAGATTGAAATGCTGTATTACTCTTATATGTACGATCAAGTATGAAGGAGCATTTTAGTTATTTTCGCTGTCAACATTCAAATCTGCAAAAAGTTCCGCCGCCGGAACTGTCGACCCCAGGAGGTTAAATCCGACAGCTCTCACGCTAATGTGCAAATCACAGAGCTGATGAGCCTCAGAGGACAGCACTTAAGTGATTTAAAATACTGAGTAATCCACTTCATGTTTTTACAGAGTGTGCGAGCGTAGATGGAGTTTTGGTGAGGGTTAAATTCAGTCAAACCAAGTTCAAGTACAAGTAGTTGTTGTAAGAGCCACCCATAGCAAAGATGAAACGCAAATGATGTCTCTTCAACATCTCAATTGTTTCTACTAGAAAGCTAGATTTAGAGAACAAATTGAAAGGTTTTTCACACAAAACAGTCGCAAACAGTCATCTTCAGAAGATGTTTTCGGTTGGGGGTGCTGTGTGTGTCCGTGTTGGGTGAAGGGGTGGGGGGGGGGGGGGGGGG